ACTTTCTGGGTCCCACCCGCCAGCTGAGAGCCGCTGGGCTGATGAAGAGGATGAAAGTCTTGGGGAAGGAGAACATCTAGGTGGAGCGGCGGGACATGATCCCAAGGAGGGATGTGGTAGTGCCCTCTCGCACCGAGGACACCCCTCCGGCAAGACATGGAGACAGCTTCCGTGCAGTGCTGGGGAGGAGCCGGTGGTCGTGGTACACGTAGGTGTCAGTGACAGAGAGAAGGACAGGAGAGAGGTCCCGTAGGCCTTTGGGGAAAGGAGGAGCCTAAAGAGGTAGGATGGGCTCCACCTAAACCAAAACAGAACCAGATTGGTGGCCCGGAAAATTAAAAAGGTCGTGGAGGAGTTTTTAAACGAAGCTGGGGGAAGCCGACAGACGCAGAGCAGCACATGGTTTGGACAGAGCCATCCCTTAGGGGCGGATTTATTGAAGGGGATTCTCTATTTCCTAGTGACGAGGAGCAGATAGAAATTGATGAAGTGCAGGTAGGAGGAGAAGAGAAACAGTCAAACGAAAACCAGTCCCATTTAGTTACAGCCGGTGAAGGCAGACACCGAAACATTGACACATTTGATAGATGCTTGTGTACAAGTGCTAAAACTCTAAATACAGGCTCTCGGTGGAACACTGATAATCAGGGGACATGGGAACACCAGGTACAAATAGGAATGACAGAGCAGGCTCCAAGTCTAGTTGGCAGCCAGTATCAAGCGGAGTGCCCCAGGGGTCGGTCCTGGGGACGGTTTTGTTCAACAACTTCACTAATGATCTGGATGATGGGATGGGTTGCACCCACAGCAAGTTCGTGGATGACAATAAGATGGGGGGAGAGGTAGATATGCTGGAGGGTAGGGATAAGGTCCAGAGTGACCTAGACAAATTGGAGGATTGGGCCAAAAGAAATCTGATGAGGTTCAACAAGGACAAGTGCAGAGTCCTGCACTTGGGACGGAAGAATCCCATGCACCGCTACAGGCTGGGGACCGACCGGCTAAGCGGCAGTTCTGCAGAAAAGGACCTGGGGATTACAGTGGACGAGAAGCTGGATATGAGTCAGCAGCGTGCCCTGGTTGCCAAGAAGGCTAACAGCATATTGGGCTGCATTAGTAGGAGCATTGCCAGCAGATCGAGGGAAGTGATTATTCCCCTCTATTCGGCACTAGTGAGGCCACGTCTGGAGTATTACGCCCAGTTTTGGTCCTCCCACTCCAGAAAGGATGTGGACACATCGGAGAAAGTCCAGCAGAGGGCAACGAAAATGATTAGGGGGCTGGAGCACATGACTTATGAGGAGAGGCTGAGGGAACTGGGATTGTTTAGTATCCAGAAGAGAAGAGTGAGGGGGGATTTGGTAGCAGCCTTCAACTACCTGAAGGGGGATTTCAAAGAGGCTGGATCTAGACTGTTCTCAGTGGTGGCAGATGACAGAACAAGGAGTAATGGTCTCAAGTTGCAGTGGGGGAGGTTTAGGTTGGATATTAGGAAACACTATGTCACTAGGAGGGTGATGAAGCACTGGAATGCGTTACCTAGGGAGATGGTGGAATCTCCTTCCTTAGAGGTTTTTAAGGCCCGGCTTGACAAAGCCCTGGCTGGGATGATTTAGTTGGGAATTGGTCCTGCTTTGAGCAGGGGGTTGGACCAGATGACCTCCTGAGGTCCCTTCCAACCCTGATAGTCTATGATTCTATGTGTGGCTCTATATGTGAGTGAAAGCGTAGAGTCAAATATAGTAAAAATCTTAACTGCCTCTAACGGTACCATAGAACCTCTCTGGATAGAAATTCCCTGCTTGAATAATAAGGTGTCACAGAGTATTGGGGGACTCAGGGCCCTGCACCCCCGGCTTCCTGCGATTCACCATGACTCTCAGCCAGCCAGTAAAGCAGAAGGTTTATTTGGATGACGGGAATACAGTCCAAGACAGGTCTTGCAGGCACAGACAACAGGGACCCCCTCAGTTAGGTCCATCTTGGGGTCCCAGGGCATCCCAGCCCCCCTTGGGAGGTCAGAGCAATCTCTGCCTCCCCACCATCTCACCACCCAGCCTCCAAGACTCTGCCTTCAGCGACCCCTCCCACAGCCTTTGTTCAGTTTCCCGGGCCAAGGTGTCACCTGGCCTCCAACCCCTTCCTGGGTTCTCATGTTACACTCTCAGGTATTCGCCTTCGGGCAGACTATCCTAGTCACACTCCCCTGTCAGCATTCACAGACCACAGTAAGAACAGTCCCAGTTTGTCACATAAGGGTCTAGCAGTAGGGATGTACAGCCGACCACCTGACCCGCAGGGTGACGGTGATTGTGAAATGCCAGGGAGAGTAGAGGGCTACAGAAATAGAAAACTCGATAATAATGAGGGATTTCAACTATCCCCATATAGACTGGGAACGTCGCCTCAGGACGGGATGCAGAGATAAAATTTCTAGACCCCATTAATGATGGCTTCTTGGAGCCGCCTGTCCTGGAACCCGCAGGGGGGAGGGGCAATTCTGGATTTAGTCCTGAGTGGGGCACAGGATCTGGTCCAGGAGGTGAACGTAGCTGAACTGCTCAGCAATAGCGACCATGATATAATTAAATTTAACATCCTTGCGGGGGGGAAATACCAAAAACCCACCGCAGGCGCATTTGACTTCAAAAAGGGGAACTACACAAACATGAAGGCGCCAGTTAAAGGGAAATTAACAGGAACAGTCACAAGAGTGAAATGCCTGCAAGCTGCAGGGACACGTCTTAAAAACACCATAATAGAGACTCAAACGAGAGAGAGAGAGAGAGACCAAATAAAAAAATAGTCAGGGGCCCAAATAAATGCCACCACGGCGAAACAACGGAGTACAAGAGGCAGTTAGAGGCAAAGAGACATCCTTTAACAACTGGAAGTCAAATCCTACAGAGGAAAATAGCAAAGAGCATGAACTCAGGCAAGTGGTCCAAGTATAATCAGACAGGCCAAGAAAGAATTTGAAGAGCAACTAGCAAAAGACACAGAAACTGACAGCAATTTTTTAAAGTACATCAGCAGCAGGAAGCTGCCAAACAGGCAGTGAGGCCCCTGGGTGATCGAGGTGCTAAAGAGCCCTTGAGGAAGCCAGGGCCATTGCAGAGAAGCGAGATGAATTCTTTGCCTCAATCTTCACTGCAGAAGATGGATGTGAGGGAAACTCTCACATCTGAGCCATTCGGTTTAGGTGACGGATCTGAGGAACTGCCCCAGACTGAGGTGTCAGTAGAGGAAGTTTTAAAATAACTTGATACATGAAATAGTAATAAGTCACCAGGACCAGAAGGTACATAAGAACGGCCAGACTGGATCAGACCAAAGTCCATCTAGCCCAGTGTCCTGTCTGCCGCCAGTGGCCAATGCCAGGTGCCCCCGGGTCAGAGGGAGTGAACAGAACAGGGAATCATCCAGTGAGCCATCCCCTGTCGCCCATTCCCTGCTTCTGGCAAACAGAGGCTCGGGACACCATCCCTGCCCATCCTGGCTAATAGCCATTGACAGACCTACCCTCCATGAACTGATCTAGTTCTTTTTTGAACCCTGTGATAGTCTTGGCCCAAGTTATCACCCAAGAGTTCGGAAGGAACTCCAATATGAAACTGCAGAGCTGCTAGCTGTGGTGTGTAACCTCTGGCTTAAATCAGCCTCTGGACCAGATGCCTGGAGGAGAGCTACTGTGGCTCCAGGGGGGATCCTGGCAATTCCAGGCTGGTAAGTCCGACTTCAGTCCCAGGCCAATTGGTTGAAACTACAGCAAAGAACCAAGTGATGAGTAACTCAGTGTGTTGGGGAAGAGTTTGGGTGGGAAGTCACGCCTCGCCAATCTATTAGAATTCTTTGAGGGGGTCAATAAATGGGGACAAGGGAGATCCAGTGGATCTAGTGTACCTGGACTTTCAGAAACCTTTGATCTAGGTACACTAGATCCACTGGATCACTTGTGCAAAGGCTCTTAAGCAAAGGGAGCAGTCATGAGATAAGAGGGAAGGTTCTCTCCTGGATCAGTAACTGGTTACAAGATAGGAAACAGGGTAGGAATAACTGGTCAGTTTTTACGGTGGAGAGAGGTAAATAGTGGTGTCCCCCAGGGGTCTGTATGGGGACCAGGGCTGTTCAACATATCCATAAATGATTTGAAAAAAATGTGTGAACAGTGAGTTGGCAAAGTTTGCAGAGGATACAAAATTATTCAAGATAGTTAAGTCCAAAGCAGACTGCGACGAGCTACAGAAGGGATCTCACCAAACTGGGTAACTGGTAGATGAGATTCAGTCCTGATAAAAACAAGGAGGAGTCCTTGTGGCACCTTAGAGACTAACACATTTATTTGGGCATAAGCTTTCGTGGGCTAAAACCCACTTCATCGGATGCATGGAGTGGAAAATACAGTAGGGAGGTATAAATACACAGCACATGAAAAGATGGGAGTTGCCTTACCAAGTCGGGGGTCAGTGCTAACGAGGCCAGTTCAGTTAAGGTGGATGTGACCCATTTCCAGCAGTTGACAAGAAGAGCTGAATATCAACAGAGGGAAATTACTTTTTGTAGTGCTAACGAGGCCAATTCAATCATGGAATTGAAATTGCACTACAAGAAACGGGGGCTGTTCAGCATGGAACAGAGAGAACTAAGAGGGGATCTGATTGAGGTCTATAAAATCATGGCTGGGGTGGAGAAAGTGAAGAAGGAAGTGTTGTTTACTCCTTCTCATAACACAGGAACCAGGGGGCCCAATGACATTAATAATCAGCAGGTTTAAAACAAGCCAAAGGAAGTATTTCTTCACACAACGTGCAGTCAGCCTATGGAACTCCTCGCCAGAGGATGTTGTGAAGGCCAAAAGTACGACTGGGTTCAAAAAAAGTATTAACTACGTTCCTGGAGGACAGGTCCATCCATGGCTGTTAGCCGGGATGAGCAGGGATGGTGTCCCCGGCCTCTCTTTGCCAGAAGCCGGGACTGGGTGACAGGGGATGGATCACTTGATAACTGCCCTGTTCTGTTCACTCTCTCTGGGGCACTTGGCACCAGCTCTGCTCAGAGACAGGACACTGGGCTGGATGGACCCTTGCTCTGACCCAATCTGGCCGTTCGGGCTCTGCCCAGACCCCAGCCGAGATCTGGGCCCCATTGGGCCGGGTGTGCACAGACCCACGGGGAGCACTGAAGAGCTCACACTCTAAGTAGATGGGGGAGGGGAAGAGGTTCAGAGAGGGGCAGGGACCCGCCCAAGGTCAATGGTGGAGCTGGGACTAGAACCCAGGTGTCCTGACTCCCAGCCCATCCCCCCTCCCCTGCCTGATGCGCTCTGGACGAGGGACCCTCCCGGACGGAAAGTCTCCTCCCGTCACGGGTCACTGTCACGGACTCCCAGATCGTGCCCAAACAAGAAAACCCCCCACTTCGTCACAGTCACCAGCCCAGCTCTCGTTGATCCCAGCTGAGAACCTGGCCCCTTACGGGAAGGGAGCAGCGGGGCGTGCGACCAGCCGAGCGTCACTGACACGGGGGGGTGCACAGCTCCGCCATCGCCCCCCTCCCCACTCACGCATGGCTGCTGCAGTGGCATGGGGCTTGCGGGAGGCGGGGCCGGGGTACCACGCAGAGCTGGCTGCCAGATGTGCACTGGATAGGGAGTCCCTGCTGGGGGGGACGGGACCCGCGCTGGGACAGGAAGTTCCGGTAGCAAAGGCAAACAGGCGTCCCGTGGGGGCGACGGGACTGCCGTTCTGGTCCCAGCTGAGGGCCGCTGCGAGAAGACGCGCCGTGGCTGAGCAGGAGAACGGTGCCTGGTCCCTCGTGAGCCAGTCACGGGAGAACCAGGAGCTGTGGGGGTGAGACGAAGGGGGACTGCCCTGTACGTGGGGGAAGGAAACTCATGCTACCCAGTGGGCTGTTAAGCTGTGGGACTAGCCTCCGCAGGGTGAGGTTCCTTGGGCGAGGGACTCCGTGAGTTTGGACAGGTGAGGTGTTTCTGTGTCCACCGCCACCTTTCCCCGGCTGGCGCCCAGCTGGGGCATGGCTCTGCCGGCAGTGCAGGACGGATGGACGGACATGGGAGGTGGATGGGGAGGAGGAGGCATACAGGAGGGCCGTTCTTGCTCTCGCTGCTTGGTCCATTGTCTCAGAACCGCTTTGCCCCCCACCCCCAGTCAGCTCTGACCCCTTCTCTGCTTTTGCCCCCAGGTGCACCCGCCCCCAGTGACGATGCCATGGCCTGCGCCCCGTGACGCCGAGCTCCGGGCGGCGCAGGCAGCCATGGGGAGCATCTACAAGGATTACTTCAACCCGGACAAGATCCGGGACCACTACAACTACACCAAGGGGTTGACAGAGAGGCAGACCCCGGGGCGTGACGCCTTCTCCATCGCCATTGTCATCCTGTGCTGCCTCATCGTGCTGGAGAACCTGCTGGTGTTGGTCTCCGTCTACCGTAACAAGAAGTTCCACTCAGCCATGTTCATCTTCATCGGCAACTTGGCCTTCTCCGACCTGCTGGCCGGCTTGGCCTTCATGGCCAACGTCCTGCTCTCGGGCAAGCGCACCTTCAGCCTGACGCCGGTGCAGTGGTTCGTGCGGGAGGGCACGGCCTTTGCCACGCTGGCGGCCTCGGTCTTCAGCCTGCTGGCCATCGCCATCGAGCGGCACGTGGCCATCACCAAGGTGAAGCTGTACAGCAGCGACAAGAACTGCCGCATGGTGCTGCTGATCGGGGCCTGCTGGGTGATCTCGGTGGCCATCGGGGGCCTGCCCATCATGGGCTGGAACTGCATGGGCAGCCTGGAGGACTGCTCCACCGTCCTGCCGCTCTACTCCAAGCGCTACATCCTCTTCGTCGTCACCGTCTTCACCGCCATCCTGCTCTCCATCGTGGTGCTCTACGGCCGCATCTACTGCATCGTCCGCTCCAGCCACGCTGAGATCGCCAGCGTGCAGACCCTGGCCCTGCTCAAGACGGTCACCATCGTGCTGGGGGCCTTCATCGTCTGCTGGCTGCCGGCCTTCATCATCCTCCTGCTGGACACCTCGTGCGCCGTCAAGGCGTGCCCCGTGCTCTGCGAGGCGAGCTATTTCTTCGGCTTCGCCGCCCTCAACTCGGCCATGAACCCCGTGATCTACACGCTGCGCAGCAAGGACATGCGGAAGGAGTTCCTGCGGGTGCTGTGCTGCTGGGGCGTGGCGGGGCGCGGCAAGCCGGCCGAGCGCTGCATGGTGCCCCTCCGCAGCTCCAGCTCCCTGGAGCGCTGCACCCAGAAGCAAGACCTGCCCACCTCGCCCATCCTGCGGGAATGCACCACCTCGGTGTGAGGCACTGCAGGGACAGTGGGCGCTGATCGGTACGAAGGGACCCGGCCCGGAGCCGGCTCTCCTGTGGGCAGTCTGCCGGGGCAAGGCGGGCGGGGACTTGCCAGGTACTGACAATCTGGTTTGCGTGATCCCGTCTTCCCGAGCGCCACCCACTCCTGCCGGGATCCTGCCTGCTCCCAGCACGGCCTCGCCCAACCCACACGCCCACGCCCGCCTGGCGCGCGCCCAGGGGCTGGGCGGTGGCTGCCTGGCTCCATGCACACGGGTCCAGGGGCCTTTCCGGCGGATGCTCCGCCCTGGTCTGCGTGCGGGTGAACTGCCACCTGCCCTGCTGGTACAGGAGGAGGGGGCGGCAGCGAGGGGCTTGCTGCACCAAGGCCGGCCAGGGGGCACGGAGGGGATCTGGGCACAGTCAGGACCAAGCCCCCACTGCACGTATTTCCCCTCACCAGCTGGTAGCGTCAGAGCACCAGGTGCCCCCCGCATGGCGCCCGGCTCCGGCTCAGTGCGGCGAGCAGTCGCTGTCGTGGGCAGGGTGAACTGGGGTCCTGCTCCAGCGCCGCCCCCAGATGCTCCTCTCCCCCAGGGGACGTGCAATTTAAACCCACCGGGGCGGCCTCGCCAGCTGACTTGGGGGGGGATGGGTTCCTGCAGGGGCCGGGGGCACGGCTGGGCTGTCTGTTGGCCCCTCCCCCCCTGCAATCAGTGCCTTTCCGTCCCCCTGTCAAGTAACAGGGGCTTGAGCGGTCACTCAGCAAGCAGGTCTGTGTCGCTGTCAGTCCATCTGTTCATCCCTATGGTACTGCCTGTCTGTCTGGGGTCCCCTCGGGCCCTGCTCGCCGCACGGCCGCCGGCTGGGATCGGAAGAGGCTGAGCAGGGAACGGGGCAAGAACCTTCCAGGGGCCCACGCCTGCTTAGAGCGAGTGTGTCTGTGCGGTGCACTGCGTGTGTGTATGTAGGCAGTGTGTGTCTGGCTGTGCGGTGCAGTTTGGGTGTGTAGGGTGTGTAGGCAGAGTGTGTCTGTGCGGTGCACTGTATGTGTGCAGAGTGTGTGTGTCTGGCTGTGCGGTGCAGTCTGGGTGTGTTGCTCTCACGTGCCCCCCGCTAGGCCTGGCCCTAGGGGCACAGACCTTTGCCGGTCAGGGGCTCTGCTGGGTGCCTTGGCGGGGCGGGGCGGGGCTGGGGGGGGGCACGTGGGCGGGCGTGTCCCCTGCCTGCCTGGGAGAATGAGTCACAGCCTGATGTGCAGCGACGTGTCTGTGCAGCACGGGGGGGTGGTTTTGTGAATGGGAATGGAAGGCGGGCGTGGGAACGGCGGCCCTACCCCCGGCACGTGGCGGGGGGGAACGAGAGGGGGGTGTTAAGGTTTTGTTTGAAAATAACCCGCTGCCCCTGCCCTTGACACAGCCTGCGCCCCAGCCCCCTCCGGACGTGGTGCCAGCAGGGACTGGCCAGTGTGTCTCTGTTGTGCATCCCGTGTCCCGGCGTGTGCCCACTGGGACACTGAGCAGGTCCCCCAGGCCCTGGGCTGCTGGGGCCCATCTAGGGTGACCTGATGTCCCAGTTTTATAGGGACGGTCCCGATATTTGGGGCTTTTTCTTATATAGGCTCCTATTACCCCCCACCCCCGTCCCGAGGTTTCACACTTGCTGTCTGGTCAGCCTAGGCCCGTCCCCCAGGGCTGCTGGAACCGTTTGTGCAGTGCGGGGCTGAGAGCCAGTGAGGTGATCAAAACCACTGCAAGCCAGGGGCTGCGGCCGCCTCCCCCCATTCCAGCACCTCTGCCTTCCCCTTTCACCCCTGTCTGTCCACTTCTCCGGCCTCGGGGGGCTCCAGCCGTGGGGGACCAAGTGCCACGTGAGCGCGCTGGCAGGAGCTGGGGCCGCCCGGCCGGCACAGGGCCAAGACCTGGTTCTTTAGTGCACACAGTGGGTGTGGGGGGCGGGGAGGACACACCCCATCCCTGCGAAACACTACAGGAGCCCCCAGGTCTGGGCGCAAGTGCCACCTCTGTACAAATGGCCTTTGGTGCCGATTGGATTAAAACGTTGCTTCTGTAGAGGCCACTTGTCGTGTGATTCCTCCTCCCGCGTCACAGTTTTTTTGGCCCCCACGGCTCCCACACTCGCTGCCCCCTTCCCCTCCGCGCCCGCTGCCCCCTTTGCTTCCACTGCCCCCCTGCTGCCAGCCCAGCCCACACGCACTGTGGGATCCGTGTTCTGAACCTGACCCCATTAGTGAGAGCAGCACCTCAGGGTGAGGGGCGTGTTCACGGGGATCAAGGAGAGATGTCGCATCGTAGAACCGGGACCCAAGGGAGGGGACAGTCCCGGGGCGGGGGGAGGAGTCCTGGGGCAGAGGGTCGGGGGAGGGATTGGTTCTGGGGGCAGCAGGGTGTTGGGGAGAGTCCAGAGTGTCACGGAGTCCCCGGGCGATGCTCTGGAACTGCTCCCCACAAAGCCAGGCAGGACTTTGGGGAGCCTCCTCTCCCTCGGAGCAGACTGTCTTCAGGGCAAGAAGCTCACACGGCTTCACCTTCCTGGGTCTGACCTGGGAGCATTCAGCATATGCCCCTCCGTGCGCTTCCCACAGCGTGTCCGCCCCGGCGGGGTCCTGGGGAAGCCAGAGGGTCCTGCACCCCCACTTCGCAGTCAGACGTGACTCTCAGCCAGCCAGTAAAACAGAGCTTTATTAGATGACAGGAACACGGTCTAAAACAGAGCTTGTAGGTCCAGCGAACGGGACCCCTCCGCCGGGTCCATTTTGGGGGGCAGTGAGCCGGACACCCACGTCTGCACTTCACTCCTTGTCCCCAGTTAGCTCCAAACTGACTTCCCCTCCAGCCCCTCCTCCTCTGGGCTTTGTCCCTTTCCGGGCCAGGAGGTCACCTGATCTCTTTGTTCTCCAACACCTTTAGCTATCACCTTTGTAGAGGAGGGGCCCCGGCCATTAGTTGCCAGGAGACACAGTGTCGGCCAGTAATGGCCGTTATCCCACCACCTAGAGACTTAAGAAATGCATAGGGGAAACTGAGGCACCCACACAGTACTCAGAGGAAACATTAAGAACAGTCCCACTTCGTCACACATGATATTGGTGGGTGGGGGTATGTCCCAAGGGGGGATGGGGCAGGTCCCACGGGTGAGTGGGAGGTTGGTTGGAGGGGCTGCCCATGGCGCGGGGGGAATGGGGAACCTGTGGTCAGGCCACTTCCCCTCCCACTTTGATTCAGTGCTGACAGATGTTGTTCTGGTTGTCATTGAAACCCAGCTCCCCCCCCACCCCACCCATAGCTCCCAGCCCCCCCCGA